TATATATATATGCAACAACATAATTAGTAAAAATTTGTAAATTAGTAAAAATATTAAAATAAGTATTTATAATAGTTTTAGATGACGTTTAAGACATTTTATTTATAAAGTGCCTTTCTAGCACACAAAGCGCATACAATACAATAAATACAGTATGTAAATAAGTACAAGTAAAAAGTCTAAACAAATTAATATTCAAAATAGTTTAATATAATAGTATAATATAATATATGCAATAAAATAATAATTAGTAACATTTTGAAAAATAGTAAAAATAAATAAATATTTAAAATAAGTTTAGATGCTGTATACACACACACACACACACACATATATATATATATATATATAGGCTATATATATTTAAATTATTTTAGAATATTATTTGATACCATATTGCATGTCACACTGCTTTGAATCAATCTGTATTGTATAAAGTGCTATATAAATAAATTTGATTTGACAAGTAAACTTGAAATAATTTATTTCATGATAATGTCCTGCTGTAGTTTTTTTCTGTTATTGGGATGAATCTGATATAATCTAAAAACTGATGGATGTGACAGTAACAAGACTGAATAAATATACGTGACTTACAGCAGGATGGTCTTTGCCCAGTGTTTTCTCTCTGATGGAGAGAGCGTCGTTCAGCAGGTGAGCCGCCTCTTTATATTTATTCTGATCCCTGAGACACACAGACAGTGAAGTCAGCACATGGCGATGATGTGATGTGTCATGTGATGAAGATCACTCTCTCACCTGTACACGAGTGCCAGGATGTTGAGCATGGTGGCCACGTCGGGGTGGTCGTGTCCCGAGGTTTTCTCCAGATCCTCCAGAGCTTGTTTGCAGAGCGGCACAGCCACCTCGTAGCGGCCCTGAGACGCGTACTGGATCACCAGGTTATGCAGCGTCCGGAGCCGCGCCGGGATCTCGTACCCGCCCTGCTGAGCCGCCGCCACCGCCGCACTGTTGTGCTGGTGCTGCACTGCAGAGGTCAGAGGTCAAAGGTCAGAGCAGGGTTAATGACAGACGCACACATGAGAGAAGAAGCAGTGATGTTCACTTACTTCCTTGAGTGTGTTCCTCCTCATCGTTAGGAAAGAGATCATCCAGAGAGTCCTTGGGCGGCTCACCGTCCTTCTCCTCCTGGACAGACAGACAGACAGAGAGACAGACAGTCAGATAGATGGACAGACGGACAGACAGACAGACGGACAGACAGAGAGACAGACAGTCAGACAGTCAGAGAGACAGACAGATAGATGGACAGACGGACAGACAGAGAGACAAGACAGACAGAGAGACAGACAGACGTACAGAACAGAGTGACAGACAGACGGATGGACAGACAGAGAGAGAGACAGATGGACAGACAGACAGACGGACAGAACAGAGAGACAGACAGACGGACAGAACAGAGTGACAGACAGACGGATGGACAGACAGAGAGAAAGACAGATGGACAGACAGACAGACAGACGGACAGACAGACAGACAGAGAGACAGATGGACAGACAGAGAGACAGACGGACAGAACAGAGTGACAGACAGACGGATGGACAGACAGAGAGAAAGACAGATGGACAGACAGAGAGACAGACGGACAGAACAGAGTGACAGACAGACGGATGGACAGACAGAGAGAAAGACAGATGGACAGACAGAGAGACAGACGGACAGAACAGAGTGACAGACAGACGGATGGACAGACAGAGAGAAAGACAGATGGACAGACAGAGAGACAGACGGACAGAACAGAGTGACAGACAGACGGATGGACAGACAGAGAGAAAGACAGATGGACAGACAGAGAGACAGACGGACAGAACAGAGTGACAGACAGACGGATGGACAGACAGAGAGAAAGACAGATGGACAGACAGAGAGACAGACGGACAGAACAGAGTGACAGACAGACGGATGGACAGACAGACGGACAGACAGACAGATGGACAGACGGACAGACAGAGAGACAGATGGACAGACAGAGAGACAGACGGACAGAACAGAGAGACAGACAGACAGACAGAGAGACAGA